TTCTTGGTCAACAATGAAATAGCAGAAATTAAATGGTTCATCCAGCTGCAAGTGGTAGCAAAGGATTTGTCCTGATGGACTGAAGTTGACATTGGAGGATTTTTATTTATCAGAACAAACTTTTCAACTACCCTTTTCATTTCTCTTTTGTTTCTTAAAAAATAAAAATTTTTTATCTCTTAGAACCACAGGTTTGTTCAGGAGTGACGATCTGAATATAAGCTGGCAATGATCTTTCAAAACATAAACTATGATGCCTTGTTTTGAAAAGGAGCAATATTATCATTCCCTATGATTATATCTAGAGAGTTTAAATTTAGAAAGTTTAAGATAGTTAATATTATACAGTAATAGCTTAATAAATCTACTCCCTTGTAGTGAGATAGTTAGTAAATAGCTAAATCATGTGGGTAACATGGTAGTCTTGGTATTAAGGATTCAAGAATCACGTACAAATCTAAATTCATTGACAGGTGTTCTGCAAATTATGTGATAGTTTAGCTTTAGTATAGTGTTATATATATTGTATTACTGTTTTTTAAAATTGGATAAATAAATACAACTCTTGCAGTCTGATTAGAGGCAAAAAAAAATAAAAATAAAAATACATACAGTATATCTATATAAAGCTTAACCTCTGGAAACATATATACTTAATTAATATAAATAAAATATAAAAAAATATAAAAAAAATAATATAAACAATATATATGCTCTATAGCCTTATGTTCTTAATTTGGTTATATTAGCTTATAGTAATTAATTAGTAATGTCTTAATAGTATAACTATATATATGTTCATATTTAATTTAGACATTTTTCAAAACTATATTATGTTTATATTATTAAGTAACAATTAGTAAGTAATTGGAAATTATATTTAATTCAGAATTGTATTGTCAATCAAATTTTCTTTTGTGATAATAAGGAAATATATATAAGCATGACACATTATTAGGAATCAAAATCACATCATATATATATAAGACAATTGTCTAGAAGCATGTCTCAAATTTGCAGATTATCAAGAGTGAATCAGATATCTTCTGGGATATTCAGATTGCTTGATACAGTATGGATCCCATAGCACAGTTACAGGTCAAGATTGTTACAGCTAGCTTGCCTATAGTAAACTATTTCAGTTACAAAAAAAAAAGAAATATTAAAACCAATACATTATTAAAGATAGTACCAAGCAGCTATAAATATCTATTTAGATTTTTATATAAAAAAATTATAAGAAATAAATATTAAAGAAAAAAATATATTAAGCAAAGATATAGATACAAAAAAACTAATTATAGAGCTAAGAATATTTCAAAGAATCATATCACTCTAATAGTTCTATTTAACTAAAATGCGGTATATATGTACTTATTACAAATGACCAGACTACTGTCCAAAGTATACAATAGTATTGATATTATATTTTTTTAATAATCAATTGGTTGTAATGATTATATTATTATTTTGTTAATATAATTAATAATTGGTTTGATTGTTAATAATATAATTGGTTTATTTATTGATAATATAATTTTGTTTTTATAATTATTGCTAAATAAGGTTTTTTTATATTTATCAGTATATAGTGTTTTGGTAGTATGGATTTGTTTGAATAATTGGTAATATTTGATTGATTGATTTTGAGATATTGATTAATTGATAAAAGTAAACTGATTACAGTATTTTTGTTTTATGTTTTTTGTGGTACAGCAAAATATGCTAGATAATAGTAAAAAATAAACAATAATATATTGCTGGTTCTCCAAGTCAACAATATAAATATTTTTAATATGTGATTTGGTTTTTTGATTTATAAAGAAAATCTTTAAGAAAAGAATATAATTATTTAATAAGAAATGTGTATTAATAAGAAGTGAAAATGTAAAGAATTCCAAGAAAGATTTATAAAGAAGTAATTATTACAGGCCTTTTCTTATGCAATTAAAAAAAAAAGCAAGGATTCAAACTCACTTTTCTTTGGCTAGAAGTTCTATCTTGATATATCAGTATATTTCTCTAATTTTCTTGAGATTCTTGTAATAAAGATAAAGAATGTATAAATGATTTTGGGATATTGAAAAACAAGAAAAATATTTGTTTCTTTAATTTTAAAAGATAATTATTAAAAAAGAAAATTTTTAAAAAAAAAGTTGTATATGAAAAAATGGTTTTTTACAAAAAAAAATAAAAAACAATCTATAATAACAAATTATAATTTTATTTTGAATAGTGAATTGATTATTTTAAAAATCAATATTCTATTTCAAAAGAATAAAACAACCAATATAATATACTTAATTCAAGATATTTTTTATATAATAATTAGTTTTTTTTATATTTTCTCTTTAATTACTACAAAATATTCAAATTTAAATAATAATGCTATTATTATTATTATTGTTATAGTTCTAAAAATTGAAATTGAATAGACTTATATAAACTTGTATAAGATTTGAAATATTATTAAAAGTGATATTGAATTATAACTCATATATTAAATTTAATATAAATCTGAGAATCAAGAATTGAATTGAATTGAATTGTTAAAATTATTAACTATTATTATTATTATTTGTCAATTATTATATTCAATCAACTATTTAAAAAATATATTATTAATATTTTTATATATTTTGAATTATAGCTTAACTATTTTGGAAAATACTATTATATTTTAGAAAAGTAAAATTATTAGAGTAGTATAATTATTAAATATCCTTTATATTATAATTAATTTTGTTATTATTATTTTTTTGTTTAATAATATTTTTTTTGTTTGATATTTTTATTTTATTTTTATTATATATAATTCCAAGTAAATATTTATAGATACTTGATATTAAAAAAAAAAAATTTTTTTTCACATACAATTTTTTATTTTTCAATATTCAAAAATTCTTCATATTTTTTTTTTTTTTTTTACTATAAGAGTTTCAAGAAAATCAAAGAAGTATATCGATATATTGGAATGAAATCTTTGACCAAAGAAAAGCAAGTTTGAAATCTTAATTTTCTTTGAATTATATAAGGAAAGACTTATAATAATTACTTTTTTATAAATTTTTCTTGGAGTTATTTCTATTTTCTTTTCTTTTCAATATATAAATCTTTTTAAATAATTGTATTTTTTTATTGGAGAACTTTTTTTTATCTAAAAGAATCAAACTTTAATTAAAATTGTTTATATTATTAACTTGAAGCATCAACAATATATTTAATATTTATCTTTTATTATTACTTAGTTTACTTTGCTATATTATCAAAAATCAAAAATTTTCACTTAAAATATTTTTTACTAAAAAACTATAATTAGTTTATTCCTGTTAATTGATTAATATTTTAAACTTAACTAATTAAACATTGCTAATTTTTTAAACAAATTTATATAATTAAAACATTATACTTTGATTAATATAAACAAAATCTTTTATAATAACAACAATCAAAACAAAATCATATTACCGACAAACAAACCAATCACAAATTATATTACTATAATAACAATACTATTACCATAATTAATCATCTATTAAAGAAATATATTATTAATATTATTGTATACTTTGAACAATAACTTGATTATTTTTGGAACTGCAATAATTATATTTTAGTTAAATAAAACTACTAACATAGTGCATCTAATGATTTTATTTGAAACATTCTTAGCTTTACAATTAGTTTTTTTATATTTATCTTTTTGTTTAGTATTTTGTTTTTTTTTTCAATTTTTTATTTCTTATAATCTTACATATAAACCTGAGTAGGTATTTATAGTTGCTCAGTACTATTTAAAATATATATTAGTTTTAATATTTATTTTTTATATTATTTAAATAGTTTCTGTAGGCAAGTTAGCATTAAACTCACTAATCAATTAGTTATATAAGAAATATTGTTATTTTCTATATGTAAAATAATTTAAAATTTTTATAATAATAAAGAGATAATATTTATCTACTTAAAAAAATATATATTTGATATCTTTTAATATTATTGATTTATTCAATCAATAAATAGGTTCAAGATTTTTTTTTCAATTATTTTTAAAATAAATATTATTATTTCAACTTATTGTTAAATTGAAATATAATTTAAATTTTAGAGTTATTTTCAATTTTTTTTAAAAAATTATAAAAAAAGAAGAAACAAAAAAAGAAGTTGTTGTTTTTTTTTTATAATTTTAATTTTATCTAATATTTTTTATACTATTTTTGTCAACTAAAAACTATTTAACTAATCTATAATTTTAATCAATTATTTTTCAAAAAATCTAATATATTTAAGAATTTAAAGTTAAACTAAAGTAGGTAAAAATTTTCATGAAAGTTAAAAAAAAAAAAACATGTTTAAAAAAAAAAAATTAAAAAATTAAAAAAATAATTAAAGATTTTATTGTTTTTTTGAATTTTTGAATCTCTTGAAAGTTTTTAAAAAGTATTTTTCTTGTTAATTTTTTTTTAAAAAAGTATTCTTGCTATAGATTTTTAGATAAGTTTTTTGTATTTAGTTGCAAAATAAACAAAAAAATGATTTGAAAAAGAAAAAAAAATAAGTAATAATTGCTATTTACTTTGTTGGTTAAGAAATTAGTATTGTTAAAGAAATCTTTAAAAAACAGCTGTTTTTGAATTGATAAAAAAATCAGTAGAAAAAATCTTTTTTCTTGAATCTTAATAAATATATATTTAATGTTTATTAATTTTTACTGCTATACTAGCATTTACACTGCTAAATAAAGCTTATAAAATTAAAGGTTCATTATAACTATATTTGTATTGAATCAATAGACAATAAACAATAGACAATTACGTATTAAATGTTTCAGAATAGATCATGTGACGAACATATTTGTTATAGCTATTTATATTCCCAGGCACAAGTTAGTTTTCTTGAGTTGTTTTTGCCGCAGTTTTTTCTTCATATTTCTAAAAAAACATTAATACACACATATTGCATCTTTAACTTTCTTTATCTGTTTTCTTTATATTATTATGATGCACCCATACTTTCTTGCAAGTATCGTTGTTAGTGTTGCTGTCGTCGCCTACGTTGTGTATACGGTATACCAGGAACCTCAACCCATTTTTGTTGAGGGAGGAGGTGAAAAATATAATGAAAAGCCACAGGAGAATCGTAGTGACGATGGTGACGAAGATTCTTTAGACAATTCAGACGAAAAATCTGGTCTTAGAAGAAGGAAAAAATCAAAGGACGTTAATAGTCAACAAAGTTCGAACATGCGTGAACACGTAAGCTTTACCCTGATCTGTTTATATAATTTTAAAAAGATTTCAGATATTAATATTAATGTCTCGCCATATTTTAGAGCGATTATGATGAGCAAGAACTGCTAGATAGGTTATCATATTTAAACGCAGTGGAACAGGAAATCGAACGAAAAAAACTTCAATTAGCCGATGAAGAACGCATTCTTGGTGAAAAAGAACGTGAAATTGAACAAAGAAAACAAAGCTTACTTGAAAGTTCTCTCTCCAGCTCAATTTCTGAATTAGGGAATTTATCTACTGGCACTACCTTTCATAATATTTCTAACACCTCTACTTCCACGAATAATATAGTGGAAATTCCCCATGAGCAACCATTAATTGAAGTTTCATCCCCTATTTCGCTGGTCTCACGCTTACCATCTACAAAGACCATTAACAGCTCTTTGAATGATGAACATGATAATGAGAGTCATACTTTCTCGGATTCAGCAGCAAACACCATTCTCACACAAGATTTATCTCGTATCAGTCACCAACAAATGACACCCGTTGTAAACTATCCTTTAGCTACAGTTAATTCTCCTAATTCCACTATTTCTTCTCAACATAACCAAGATGATTCTGTTAGACAATCTCCTAACCAGTCTCATCTTACGGTGAAATCCGCTAGATCGGATGACGCTTGGTCTGAAATTGAATCTGTTCTTTCCGAGAACATTGGTAGTATCATGTCTTCTGCTGTCGATATCGATATGGAAGATGTCGACGTTATAGAGCATTAGTTTCAATAACTTTTAATAATAATGTGTGGTGCTTTTATGACTACTACTAGTAGGTCAAATTTCGCGAAAGTTAAGATATAAACTGAAAGCATTCTTCTTTCACTGACATTTTGTTTTCTTGTTCCTTTAAATTACCATCATAAGGTCAATCACTACACGACAATTTATTTATGTTTTATTCCTTGTAAAAAACATTAAGGAGCACTATATTAAGTTCTCAATGTTTTCACGTGACCTGTAAAATATTAGTAAAAACGCCGTGTCACTTCCTACATTGTTATATTGTAATAAAATAAACGTGTTGGCATTTCGAATTCGATTTGGAACATTGCCTGAACAATAAATGCAATTTGAGGATATGTATGTTTTATAACTATTGTAATGTTTTTCTCCTACGATTAATGCTACAATATTCTCATTTAGGCGCTGATGCCAAAATAAAATTGCTACTGATAAATATAATTTTACAATATCGTTTTAAAGCCAAGAAAAATTTTACTTCCGACTTCTTTCTTTTCTTATTAACTTCGGCGATGTTTGATCTATACGGCCTCGAGTCTGAATAATCTGAGGTCGTCCGAATGTTTTTAATTCTGGACCTACTGACTGTTATATGCATTAAGGCACTTTATATTCTCGTCAGAACTATAACAATTCGACAACAATTCTAACAATTCTGACCATAATTTTGGGTCTATTTCGGATGGTGGTGGATCAACTTTTAACTTTTCTCCGGGAAGGAAACAATTTTTTAAATCATTATATGCCGCAATGGTGGACTTTACTGCAATGTGGAGGTTTTTAATCGATTGTTTTAACTCAAAGAAGGAATGAAAGAAAATTCAGAGCACATTTTATTTATATTAATAGAACGAAATAAGTCAAAAAAATTTCGGATATTTACCATATATTCCTGTAGTTTACAAAGGCTTACATCACTTGTATTTTCAGCATTCTTACTGACGTCTGAAGTCCAAATTAAATCCGATATATTAATATTTAATCCATCATATTCTTTGATACTTGTGATGGATTGAGGTGAAGAAGTACAATCTATAGAAGGCATTCCGTTCGGTAAATGAATGAATTCTTTTTCAGAATTGGATGACGACCTATCATGCCATGAGTATTCTGATAATTGTGGTGTTATTGGTTGGTGATAAACCGAGGATGTGGATACTTGATTTACGTAATATAAGGGAGGCTGTTTCGCAATTCGTGTTGAGTCAAAATTCTGTTGAGATGAAGTTGACGTGAAGTATGGAGGTAGCGTTAGGTGATCCAAAGTTTTTGAAAATGAGTTAACTGACAATGTGCACAAACGTTAAATTTGAGAATTTTCTGTGTAGAAATCGAAAAGAACTCGTTTTAATTATACCTTCTTCCGATATTTCTGAAGTTTTTAATTTTTCGAAGTCTTTTGAGATCGTATCGCGTTCTGTTTTTCCCAACTCATGGAGAGTCAGTACCTTAAAATGTCTGTTTACTTTCTTATAATCTTTGGAAATCGTATCACGCTCTGTTTTTCCTAGTTCACGAAGACTCAGTACTTTAAAGCGTTTTGGGATTTTTTCCATTTCACAGGTTTGAGACATATCTAAAATCTATTATCAAAAAGATTCAAGTGAATTGAAATTCTAAATGTTGAAGCTCGGAACTATAAATGGCAACAGAATTAGAGTTAAGCCACCCCACTAGACGTGGCTGTGTCAACGCGTTTTTTACAAAAATAAAAGATATTTTATTATTATTATTTTTTTGTAGAAAAACATCATTTCATTGTTTATTTATATATAGTAGGATTTTGTAGAAAAACATCATTTCATTGTTTATTTATATATAGTAGGATATAAATCTTGATTAAATATGTAAAAAATAAAGTTTGCTTAATGATACAGTATATACGTAATTTTATTTACTGTATGTAACTTATATTGTTTGAATTTTAAATTAATTATTAATAAAGCAATTAAATTAATTATTAATTATTTTAAAGAACAAAACATTTATATACTGTATATACTATACATATTATAAAGAATAAGTACTATCTATATTTCTTATAAAAATTCAATTTTTATTATATTGATTTGAAAATTTTAATATTAATAGTTTTATTATAACTTTTAAATTATTTATTTTTTAAAAAATTATCTAATACAAAATTAAAAGTTAATAAAATTCAAGTTATTTTTTTAAAAGTACACAGTGAAATTAGTAAAAAATTTACTATAGTAAGATTTTTTTAAATTTTATTATTAAATCCATTATATCAAGATTATTTTATTATAACTATTTTTGAGTCTATTCCACTATATTGAGATTTTTATATGTTTCCACTATATCAAATATCCATTATATCAAATTTCACTGTATATATATTTTTGATTTTTTTTTTAATTCACAATTAAGCTATAAAGAACTATTACAAGTATAAAAATATATACAAAATATAAATATTCTTTAATTCAATTTATCTATTAACAACTAAATTCAAATTGTATTACTTTTTTTATATAGAAACTATATAAAAAGAAAGATAATAATAAAAAATAGATAAAAAAAATTATATAAAAAAAGAAATTGAAACAAACAAAGAAAAAAACTATTATTTGTTTTATATGTATTGCTAAAATTTATAGATTCTTAATACAATTGATACAATTATTTGATGCAATTAATTGAGTTACTATTAAAACATATAAATAATTAAGACATAATACAATTATTTTTAAGAATTTTAAGAATTAAGTCAATAGCAAATAATTTATACATTATATTGTTACGGTGAAATATGGCGAGTTTGTCGTTTCTGTTCTGTCTACGCCATACTATGTTGGAGGATGGTTTCTCCTCAAAAGAGACGTGTATATTTGACTC